TCTCGCAAGCCCCCATACTGAATGTAACCCCAAACCATGACTTTTCCTTCTCCAAACTTGAACGATTTCTGTGAAAATCTTGAGTACATGAAGGTTTCAATAGGTCTTCTGCAGTATGTGTGATGATTGAGATGCAGCTTAACAGATGATTCATCAGAAAAATTGACCTTTTGCCTCAAATGATCAACTAAGTCAAGTTATTATTTGTTGTTCTTACAACAGGGACTGACAACAAGACTTTTGTCAGGTAGTGTATATCTTGCTTTATATTACATTATCTTATGTTACCTGACAATCAACAGTATGTATCAGTTGTCTGAATAATGGAATAAATATTCTTTTGTTTGTAAAATGAAAACTAAACTATGTATTTTGTTCTTTAAAGTATGACAATCATACAAGTTTTACTTTTAAAAAGTGGTGTATTCAATTATTTAATAATAAAAAAGCTTTTAAAAGAGAGCGTACTGTAATTTTTCAGGTGTTTGTACTTTAATGTCCCTCTCTGTCTAGTGTGCAGCAGAATTGATTTCCCTTAAATGCACCAGAGAACAAACTTTTGGAGGACTTTTTAGGACTTTTGGAGAAAGAGTTCGAAACTAATGAGGGCAGGAGGGTAGGAGGGGACAGACTGAAACTGCACGAGACACACACACTCACACACGGTAACATCCTCCACTGACATCCTGTCAGGTTGGTCCTTTGCTGTTTGTATGTTGTCAAAGAGGAATCTCAGGTCTCTGCTGAATTCCAAATTGATCTGTCAGGATGCTTGGGCCTAGATTTCCCCCCTCCTCACTTCTGAAGCGTCATCGTGGCACTTTTGTGAGTCTGAGGACTCTCCGGATCCGTCAGCGGAGAGAAATCCCGGTCTGAGGCCACGGCTGCAATGTTCAGCACTTTCTCTTTGACCTTGGCACAGGGGCCAACGTGGGACCAGACCTCCGCATAACAAGAGCTGTGTGGCGATGCTGCACGCAGGGCACCCGCTGTCATTGTGTCAGCATGACTGAAGCTGGACAGGTAGAATTATGGCGCCCGGATCAAATTTAAGCATGGCGTTGCTGAACCAGTCAAAAAAATACATGCAAGCATTTTAACTAACTGACAGGAAGATGATTCATGAGGAAGATGACGCGGACGTCAGTCCCTGTGGAAAATGCCACTTTTTTTGCTGATGCATTAGTCTAAGGACACATTTATATGACATATTCTTAACTTTTAACTGTTTTTGGGGCATTTATTTAAAAAAAAAGTAATTGGGGGCATGAAAATGGGATTGAAAGTGAACTACAAAAACACAAATTTGTGAAAACTTTGATGTCCTGCTTGTGTATATGGCACCCTTACGCCTACAGGACTGTATATGCGCAGGTGTATATTTTTTATTTAGAAATGACATCGCCACCTAGTAGCCTGGCATGAATATTACAGTGTTTTCAGTCATTTACACAGATAAGAGTGTAATATTAGTTTGCAAAATTTAATATAAAAACAAGAGCTGGGTCCCAAATAGCACACTATACGTTATGTTTTTATCCACTTTGTACTTATTCACTTGCACACATTCAGCAGCATAGTACATGAATGTATCCTGCTCTCACAGGATTTCAAAATGACGTCAAATCCACGTTGTTCCCCATCATCATGAGGACGTTGGAATTTGTTTGGAAATGAAAATCAGGTTGATGTCAGAACCCAATGTCAGGCCGATGTCAATGTCAAATCGACCAAATATCAATGTCTAATCATGTTACAACTTGACATTGTGTGGAAGATACCACTATGACATCTAACAGATGTTGGATTTTGGTCAATTTCCAACACAACCTAAAATCAACCAAATATCAACGTAATTTGACATCGTTATTGGACGTTAAATGAACGTTGTCCTTAGACGCTGGCTAGACATTGAATTTTGGTCGCTTGACGTCATGACCTTAATCTAACCTAACATTAACGTCTTATGAGGTTGTGTGCCTGCTTTGTAGTGTCTTCCCAAATGGAACACTAGTTGTTTTATTTACTAAGTGGACAATCAAAATGTTTCCCAGATTATGTTTGATAGTTGCCATATTAGCAATTTAATGATCAAACTACCAAATAATACCTGCCGTGGGTATAACCACATCGGGAGGCAGTATAATCACTCTTGTAGGAGAATACTCTCCACCAATCAGCTGGTGTGTGGTGTGTGGTCTGGCGCAAAATGGCTGCCATCGCGTTATCCAGGTGGATGCTGCACACTGGTGGTGGATGAGGAGATTCCTCCCATTGTGTAAAGCGCTTTGAGTGCACAGAAAAGCGCTATATAAATGTAAGAAATTGTTATTAATTATTATTAATACTGCTTTCACAATCTAAAATAAATAAAATAATCAGTGCCCGAAAGCTATGCCCCTTCAACTACGTGACCAAAGCATCGGCCGGTGTGCGTAAAGTGTCCAACATTTCACACTTCTTTTTAATGGTTGAATAAGTGCATCATAAGGGTAATTAAAGTTAACTTATTATTTTTAGAGTTTTCAGTGGGAATGCACTACTTGTACTATTTAAACTACAAAATGGCATTGAATAGTGCATGAGTATGCATTTGGGATGCACCTAAAGTTATTATTTTAATACAGTGTTAAGTAAACTGACCCTGAAAGTCTAAAACCTATCAAAAAAATATTATAAATAAAGTAATGCAAAGCACACATATTTCAGTCATGAATTCTGTCATTTATTGTTGGATTTTTTTTTTTTTAAATTCTCACATAGTTGCTACTGTAACATCATGTTTTTTGAGAAATTGAAGCACCAGGGGAAGTGAATCTCAACCCCGTAATCACTGGTTTCTTATCAATTGTGCTTTCTATATATTTAAATGCAATATTATACTTTTCATGAATGCAAAATATGTATGAATGATTTTTTTCACTCTTCCATTCTCACATTAAAGGGATGGAACATCCTTTTAAGCAGTCCACGCATATAGAATTCATACCTCACAATAAGGATTACAATATTCTATAATATGTATATATCTATGTACATATATGGCACTTGAATACATAAAAGCAATATATCCGATTCCCACAAATGAAAGCAATGGGCGCTTTGGTGTCAAACATAAATAAATCAATAAAACAGTCCAATATACTAAGAAATAAATAAAAAAGATAGAGAGTTCAGCGTTATGCAGCATAGGCCAGTTCACCGGCTACTGATCTGCAAATCAGCTTATATATATAACAAAACAATAACTTATGTTAAGGTCAGTGGTGCAAGCACAGGCAACCAAATCATTAAAGATGCCAATCTATCTAAGCCGAAAGAGAGAGATATGAATATAGTATTGATAAACATATTAGATCTGCAGTCTACTTGCAGTGAAAAAAACTAAAACCTGTAAGTGCAATCTAAAACCAGAATGAAATACAAGATAATGAAATGTAAAAACCGTCACAGCACAGTTTGGGTTCATTTTGGCTTCATTAAATCCGTATTTAGTGCAAAACATATTTCGAGTTCAGCTGATCGTGTGAACGAAGAAATAAAATATCGAAATAATGTCATCGTAAGCTTTTCCGTTCCGACCGATAAAAAAAGTTGCATCAGTGCCCTTCAGTAAATGATAGGAAACAAACGTTTGTTTGGTCCGTTTGTTCAGTTTGTCCATAAAAGACAAATAAAATCCATCTACCCCACCATCAAACAGGCGAGATGAACAGTTCATAAAGTATCTGGTCTTAATATAATCTAATCTAGTGGTGTCCTCAAGAAATGCACATTTTGGATGCCACTGGCATCATTTGCTTACACTAATGTCTTTCCATGGAACACAAATACAAGATATTTTGAGAGATCCAATGTTGTTTTTGACAAGAGTTCCCATTGCATGGACAAAAACATTTTGCAAACATTTGCTTTTGTGTTCCAAAGAAGGACATAAAGGCTTGGAATAACTTGATAGGGAGTTTCATGGCAGAGTTTCACATTAAAATCATATGTACAACACACCAATCATGTTATACACATTTCTTTACACATGAAAATGTTCCAAAACCACACGTTCCATGTGGTTGGTTGCACATGTGAAGTCGCTGTGGTTTTCTATTGAGCTTATTTTTTTCACTTACGGTGCTCAGCATATATAAGTTCACCCCTCACAAATCCATCTTTTAAATTAATATAAAATAAAATCAAAATAAAATTTTACAATAATACATTTGTGCATATACATTAGATTAGTCAATACTGAAGCTAAATCTGGAGCCAATCTATCACAATAACCTACGATAACGGTCAAAATCAAGGAGGAAAAATCAAGAGCAGCAAAAAAATGTACAAATTTTGTAGGTTGTAAGTTATTTTTGCAATATTTTATCTGAATTGTTTTATCATTCAATTTCTAATATGTTTGGTGACTGAAAAAATATTTTAATAAATATGTCTGTTTAATAAATCTGTTTTGTTTTAACGCATCAAAATACATTGCCTATGTTCACTGAGAAATGGATACAAATATTCATTTTCTAAAATGAAGTGTACTTAATAATAATAGAGGTGCTTAATAGAAGAAACTTAATAGAGGTGTACTTAATTATGCTGAGCGCTGTAAATGTGGGCCCAGCCATTAGAACCTTATAGGCACGAGACTTCCAGTCCTATTCACTTCCATTGTTTTTAGCCATAGAAAATAGCTTATTATGCTACTTGATGTTGCAAACTTGATGTTTGCAAACTATTTTCTTATTAATTTTTTTTTTAAACATTTTGTTTAAACATTGCTTGTAGAGCAAGTATTGTGATCATTTACTGTTGTTTATTGTTCCTAGTCATTTCCCGTATAGCAAATGAATCGGAAGTTCCAAAACAATCACAAAAAAAGGCTTACTTCCGTATTGCAGAATAAGCTACATAAGGTGGGGTGAACATATCCAAAATGTGCAACCTGTGCTCTTTCTGAACCAGAATTGAGGACCACCACTCTAATAATCTACACGAAGAAAGCATTAAACGTAGGCAGAGTCACTGGACTGGGTTCTTCCGAAATTCGGCATGCTCATCCGCGGTAAGTCCTTGTTTCTGATCTCATAGATGGACTTCCTCCTGGCCTGAACCCCCCTCACCGCTGTTTTAATTTTCCTCCAGCCCAGGTGATTGAGTTCAGCCAGGTTGAGCACCACGCAAATCCCACTGACTGCAAACATGAAGACGAGGAACACGGTTTTCTCCGTAGGTCTTGATACGTAGCATTCGACGTCTTTGATGCAAGGATAGCGGTCGCACTCGTACACGGCGGGCACGTTGAATCCGTACAAGAAATACTGGCCCACCAGGAAGCCAATTTCCAGTGCGTTTCTGAACACCACCTGAATGATGTAAAACCTGGAGATGCCCTCTTGTCTTCTCATTTTAGATTTGGTAGTTCTCATGGCTGAATTGGGGATCTCTTTGACCTCTAGACAGTCAGGCTCGGACTCTTTGGTGGAGTTCTCCGTGTTTTGAAGTACTCCGTTCACAATGGTGTTTTTGATCTTTTTGCTGTCGTCTCGCCTCATCGTATCGGGGTCTTTGTCGAGGGACAGGTAGATGGTAGAATACCTCCGCTCCTTCTGTTTGGCCGACTGATGCACAGAGTATGTGATGAAGCAGAGACTGGGTGTGCAAACCATGATGATCTGGAAAACCCAGTATCTGATGTGAGATATAGGGAACGCTTTGTCATAGCAAGCTTGGTTACAGCCTGGCTGCAGAGTGTTACACACAAACATTGACTGCTCGTCGTCGTACACGGTCTCTCCAACAATCGCCACAATTAGAATCCGGAAGATCACCACAACAGTTAGCAGGATCCTACAGGAGAGGAAAGGAACATTTTAAGCTCAAAGAACATCTGCTCCAGTAAATCAAGACTATAAATGACAGATTAAACACTTCACTATTAATTATTATTATTATTTGTCATTAATGGTCCATAAAAAAACCTTTGTATTAGATTTAATTTTGTTGTTTTAATGTAGCAAAAGCATTCTATTAGACTACAAAATGTTCTGTACAAATGGTTCTTTGAAGAACACAAAATAGATCAGCTCTAAACCTGTTAAAATCAGGTGGCTGTGTTTGCTAAGGATACATTAATAAAACATAGTAATATATATTAGGCTTCATGGGATTGCAAGTCATAAGTCTATTTCATGAACAAATATAATGTTAATGGTCCATTCTGTTATCTGGGAACATTATTATTCCAGTGACTGCCATGCAGTGTGCTGACACATAATACACTTTTTGAAACAGGAGAGCTCATGATGAATTGAATTTCATATAATCTGACACACCTAAAGTAATAAGCAATACGTGTGTATAAAATATAAGTGTGCGATGAATATTATAGTGTATGTTTACACTTTTAAAACACTATCAAAATACACACGGCACTGAAATTGTGCAAAGTGAAGTCATTAATGTACATCAAATGCATAATTAAACACTTGTGAATGTACATGTCACATTAGGTTAAAAATTAAAGAAAGTTATGTACAGTGCTCTGTCAGCCACCCCCCCCCCCCCCCCCCAACCAGATCATTCATTTAAATTAATATTTTCTATAAGATGCTTTACAATATTATATGTGTGCATATACATTAGATCGGTCAGCATTGAAGAGCTCATCTAACACAATATAATGGTTTAAAAATGAGTAGCCCAAATGTATTTGTAGGGAAAATTATTAAATATAATTTTCAAAAATAGAAACAAAATATATATATAAAATTTTGTAACTTTTGCTTAAATTTAAATGTATTATCTTTCTATTTCAAAAGATATTTTGTGACTAAAATATTATTTTAATAAATATATCTGTGTAATAAATCGGTTTTGTTCAAATGCACCAGTATATATACCCATATTTACTGAGAAATTAGTAAAATTTTTAATTATCAAATGGGGTGTAGACATTTATCCTGAGCACTGTATTTTATTAAATATAAGCAAATGAGATGTGTCATATCTGAGAATGTCTGGGATTTTTCAACATAATTTATGAGGTGGCTTTAATACAACCGAATAATCAAATCAATATAACAGCACGCACCAGTCATTCATCAATCAAAAACATACATTATATTCAACGTGAATATTTTTTGATATGTTGACACGTTAAAATAACGAATTAATGAAATAAACGCAATGAAATGTGACTTTTCAAGGTTTGATAACTATTTTGAAAGTGAATTAAAAGGTGACTTAAGAGTTATTTTTTACTTTAATAATTATATTATCTATATTATAATTAAATTACTGTTGATTTATACAACATATAACTTAATATGTATTTCACAGTAAAATATAATATAGCTAATAATATAAATAAACTAATAACTTACAGCTAATCGATACACATTTTAACTCTTAATAACGTTTGTGCGTTGGAGATTGCAGCCTGACGCGGGGAGCTGTCCAGTGCTGAAACTCTCTCTACAGGCAAACGCGCGCTTCCAGACAGTGCGCGCACGGCATTTCTTTGAAAGCAAACCAGATCTGACATAAAACAGCAATCTTACAGATGGCTCAAACCAGACAAACCATAACCTCTTTGTTTTTTTTTTTAAATGTTCAAACAGCAACAACAAACGCGTTAACTTAAATCGTCGAACACTTTCGTCTCCTGTGCAAAGCACACATTAGGCTCCAGAAGCCAATCGCCCTTAGTCAGAAGGGTCAATGCGTAATGACCTCAGTGTTTTGTTTAATGTACTACCTTATCAATAAACATTTTCCACAACACTTTTTCCCCTCACCTCCCAATCATAGTAGAGTGCTGTTGGACAGCCGCCTCCAGGAGACGCTCGAGAATTGTCCATTCCCCCATGGCTGTTCATTCGGAGGCGAATGTAACACAGAGAACCGTGTGAAATCAAATGCGAGCAACTGTTTCGCGTCTGAAGGCGAGCGTAGTGTCGGGCGAATGCATTGATTTAGTCGCTGCTGTCCACCTTGCCGTCCACGCCTCGCTCCGGAGCGCGCGCTCGTCTGAAGTCCTGATTAGTCTAAAGCCCTCCTATTTTCTGTCTCGCGCGCAGGACGACAGGTCGCTCTGAGTCTAAACGGAGGGGAGTGTAATGTTTGGCTCGTGCTAATCCCGCTTTAAGTAGACTCTGGCTCCCTCCTCCCCTTGCGTCACGCGCACACAGGTTGTTGGAGAGAAATCAGAACAGCAGGATTTCTCCGTTTCATTATTCCCCGAATATGCCAGAGATGCGCTGATTAATCCGTAATAAAATCATTGGCGATCAAGTCAAATCGCCGGGGATGTTTGCGACACACACCCATAAGCGAGACAGGAAGCAGATTAGAGTTTAGCGTTTGGGTATGCGCGCGATAGCAAACAAGGTGCAAATCATGGGGGGTAATTAAGGCTTAAACCCCCCTGAAATGAAAGAAAGGAGTCAAACGGTGAGTACAGGTTTTAGCTGAGCTTTCCAGCATTGATGATGCAAATTAGATTAAAGGCTAGTCGTGTGGGCTGTCGCCCAAAAAAAAAAAAAAAAAAAAAAAAAAACGCCAACCAAGTAGTTGCCAAAGGAGGTCACGATAGTAACACGCGCGTTTTCTAATATTCGCGTTCTATTTTAGGCGATAAAGGTTGCATTAGTATACTTGTTTTAGCAAACATAGTTTAATTACAAGCTAGACAGAGGATGGATTCTAAAAATGCTAACTAAGGGAATTTTTTTCACAAGAGGAAACTACTTTTTAGCGTTATGCTACACTTTGTTTTGGAGCTACATGTGAAAGATAAATAATTAAACCAATAAGTACATTCATACAGAATCAACTGCTTAGTCTTTTTTTTTTTTTGCAAGATGAACCATATAGATTTTGTTATATTAGCATTAGCACATACAGTATAGCTTTAGAATTCTAGAAAGAAACTGCATTTTCCCCTACAAAATGTTAGCTAGCCAGCTAATTAGATAATCAGAGCAGAGTTGATGTTGAGTGTTTGCCAGAGGAGGTCACAGTAGCGACTCTGTTCTGAATACACACTTTTAACATTAAAATTGATTACTTGCAATTTGTTGATACACATATCGGGCATTGTAGATTTACTTGTTAAAGAAAAACTTTATTTTGTTGGTTCATTTGAGTAGTAGACTGGCTGCTTAATATGAGCTGATACTGCTCCTTAACAGACATTTAACTAAGTATAAGAAACTTTACAAGTACATATCAACTTACACTAACCCTAATCCCAACCCAACAGTCTTATAATCTAATGAGAATTAGTTGGCATGTAGATGCAATATAAAATAAAGTGTGTCCAAAATAAAGTGTGACCAAAAATGGATACTAAAATAATAATTTGGGGATAATATTGAGCCAGAGGTGCCAATTTGGTGTTTAATTAGACAAACCTTAAGCGATGACATTCTTAAAACTTTAATTAACCAGTTTAGCAGATATTTTAACATGTTTTTTTTTTTTTTTTAATGTTCAAGACAAATACTAGATTACAAGCTATAGATATAGCATAGTCTGGCTGTGTCCGAAAGGTCAGGCAGCTGGCTTGTTGCCTCGCTGCACTATCAGGCAGTGACTCTGCATGCAGCGTTTGTGCACAAAGGCACCTCGAAAAATTGATTTCATACGGACTTTTGAGACAGCATAATGATTTAATCATGCACAAAAAATAAAGAGTTTTGGTGATAACCGATTAAAGTGGCATTACTCGACTTCTGATATACAAGGTTAAAAATATAAAAGGAAAAAAAAAATGTTGACCATGCATACAAAAACAACAGCAAAAAAATAAATAAATAAATAAAAAATAAAAAATTTAAAGTGCATCCGGAAAGTATTCATAGCGCTTCACTTTTCTAAAAATGTTGTAATGTTAAAGCCTTATTTTAAAATGTATTAAATTAAATTACTTCCTCAAGATTCTACACACAATACCCCATATAGGCAATGTGAAAAAATATTTTTTGAATTTAATAAAAATAAAAAACCTGAAAAATCACATGTACATACTATAAGTATTCACAGCCTTTGCCGTGAAGCTCTAAACTGAGCTTAGGTACATTCTGTTTCCACTGATTGAGACATTCTTGAGAAATTTCAGCAGCTTAATTGAAAGTTCACCTGTGGTAAATTCAGTTGATTAGACATCATTTGAAAAGGCCTACATCTGTCAATACAAGGTCCCAGGGTTTACAGTGCATGTCAAAGTACAAACCAAGCATGAGAACAAAGGAATTGTCTGTAGATCTCCAAGACAGGATTGTCTTGAGGCACAAGGCTGGGGAAGATTTCAGAAAAATTTCTGCTGCACTGAAAGTTTCAATGAGCAGAGTGGCCTCCATCATCTGAAAGTGGAAGATGTTTGGAACTCTTCCTAGCACTGGCTGGCTTTCCAAGCTGAGTGATTGGGGGAGAAGAGCCTTAGTTAGGGAGGTGATCAATAACCAATGGTCACTCTGTCTGAGCTCCAGTGTTCTTCTGTGGCATGAGGAGAACCTTACAGAAAGACAACCATCTGTGCAGCAATCCACCAATCAGACCTTTATGGCAGAGTGGCTAGACGGAAGCCACTTCCTGCCTGGAATTTGCCAAAAGGCATCTGAAGGACTCTCAGATCAAAAGGAATAAAATTCTCTGGTCTGATGAGACTAAAATTGAACTCTTTGGAGTGAATGCCAGGTGTTACATTTGGAGAAAACCAAGCACAACTTATCACCAGGCTAATATCATCACTACAGTGAATATGGTGGTGGCAGCATCGTGCTGTGAGGATGTTTTTTCAGCAACAGGAACTAGACGACTAGTCAAAGTAGAGGGAAATATGAATGCAGCAATGTACAGAGACATCCTGAAAACCTGCTGTAGAGTTTGACCTCAGACTGGGACGACGGTTCATTTTCCAGCAGTGCAATGACCCAAAGCACACCAACAAAATATCAGTTGAGTGGCTTCACAACAACTCGATAAATGTCCTTGAGTGGCCCAGCCAGAGCCCAGAAAAAAAAAAATACGGCCAAAGACCGGTGTGCCAGGCTTGTTGCATCATATTCAAAAAGGCTTAAGGCTGTAATTATGCTAAAGGTGCATCAACAAAGTATTGAGCAAAGTCTGTAAATACGTATGTACATGTGATTGTTCAGGTTTTTTATTTTTAGTAAATTTGAAACAATTAAAAAAAATCATTTTTGGAATAAGGCTGTAACATAAAAACATGTGGAAAACTTGAAGTGCTATGAATACTTTCCGGATGCACTGTAAGTTTTAAATAATAATAAAAAAGCATATTAAAATAACACACACACACACACACTTACTCTAGATATGGCTAGAAACATGTTTGTCAAAAAACAGGCACACACATCAATTCTCAATAAAAAAAAATATATATAATTAAAAACAAAAATAAAGTTGGCAACACCAAGAATTTAGCTTTTATGGTGATAACTAAGGGAATATTTGCTTAGTACAATACCAACTTCTCGCTAGAATGCCATAAAAAGTGGAACATGGTTACACTCAAGCAGAGCTTTAATACATCATCTTTGTTTTGTTGGTTTTTTGAACTGTCAGAAATGGAGCACACATAACTGTTGGATACCGCATGTTAAGGACACATCTTTGCTGCCTTGGAAATTCGCTAAAAAGAAAGATATCTCTCGAGAAAGTAAGTGATGCGTAAATTGTATTCAGATGTGCCTTGATCCCTCCAGAGGCAGCATTTTAAAGCTTTTGAACATAACCTATACTGCACTGGAGCATTGTACAACAGTATTCCGCACAAGCCCTTTTCACATTCAGATTTTTTATTTTGTAATTTAGCCTATGACAGTTTTTTCTAAAATAGCATGTCTACACAGTGTTGACATATTTTCAATTGAAAATTTAAATTTGTGTGAACTGAAATGTGCAAATGCAACTGTCACCATCTGCATGAGAAGCGAGTACACTGTTGTTGTGTTAAAGTAGCCTGAGTTGGATAATCTGAACTCTTCACTTCAAGCCCGGTTTCTTAACCCTCACTTGCACTTTCCTGAGGGTGATAAAGAGGTAGGCCTATTTATGGTAATGCCTGAGGTGAGTAATCGCTTTACAAGGATGGAGAGATAAAAACAATTAATGACAACGTGGGATATCCCTCCTGCAATTCAACTAATAGCTGAAGCTGTAAAACTCAGCACCGGCCAATCAATATGCACATATATTTATAGTGTAGATAAGATAAAAATAAATCTTCTCATCAGCCTGAAGAGGGCATCTTGACAATGAGCCGCGTCTCTCCTCTGATCTCACTTTGCCTCCTAGAGAGCGGCTGCTATTTTTAAACTGGGTGATAATTGAAGTCGCAAATATGAAATCATCACAGATGGCTTTTCTGCTATACTGTATTTGGTGTAGCCTCCTAATGAGAAGAGCGTTACTGTTTTGTAGTAAATGATAAAGATTAATTGGCTCTCAGCATCATTCAACATCTGTTTGATTGGATCTGAGAATTGTTGTTTTATGAAAACAATCAAATTTTTCATGTGAAACCAAGATTTCTAGATGTTGAACGTTATCACAAATTACCATGTTATTACTGCAATTTTCTATTCTTCAGAATACCATAGCAATTATATAGAAACCACATAGAGTATTTTAGCAACATGTAGTTGTTCAGATTGCAACTATGCAGTTTATTTGTAGGAATAGTGCCTATTTTTAAATATTTACAATTTCTGAGAGCTCGTCGGTGGCGGTTGATGTTGTCTATCCACAAGATGGCGCCAGAACCGCATAATAAGCCCTTGCTCAGTGTGTTCACGAATTAAAAAGCTGAAAAATGGAAGCCTCGTGGTTTTAAGGTGGTCCGGATAGAGTCAATAAGAAGCTGCGAATAAGAAGGTGGATTCAGCCTTGTCCCTCCTTATCGCAAACACAACAGCAGTCCCACCCGTGCTGATATACAGCCATAGCACACTGCTACTCGTGTGATATTGCTCATATACAACGTTTCTGTCTGGTTCTCAAATCTGATTGGCTGATAACAGTGCATTATTCTGCAGTAACAACACTCAACTCACTACAGTTTAACAAATACGGCAGCTATTAGACAACAAAATGTACTTTTGAGGTTTTTTAGGTGAGAATTGCAACTATGCAGTTTATTTAAAAGAATAGTGTCTATTTTACATATTTATCAATTTGGAGGTCATCAGCCTGTCATACAAACAGAGCAAAGACGGTTGATGTTCAGCCAAAAGATGGCGACAGAGACAACATAGTAAGCCCTTAAGCTGCCTTTAGCACATGGCATTTGGACACAACTGTTGAAATACGCCCCCCTGTGGCAAACGCACAGAATTTTCAGTTTTGTTGTGCACCATGGGAGAGCTTATTCTCACGGTGTTTAAAACAAAGGAGTGCAAAAAGAACTTTTATTCTCCGTGTTCACCATGGTTGAATGAATGATTAGCAAAACTCATAGACTGCTAAACATTTTGGAGAAATAAAACAATTTTTTATGACTAATTTATAAATAGAACTTTTAGTGTTTTTTTTCTAAGATAAGCTTTTTCTGATTAAAAAAAAAAATTAAATAAAAAAATAAATAAAATAAATAAAAACTACCATCGCATGCAGGGACCAGCTTGGACAAATATTTTCCTCATCTGCAGTTCAAATAGGATCTGAATTTCCACATACGGAGATGAATGGAACTCCCAGCTCCCGGACTATTCCCCATTGGAAATGAATGACTTCCGGTCTTTCGTTTGTCGTGTGCAGTGGAAAGGCAGCTTCAGAGGAAAAACTCAGTTTAATTTCAAACTACAGCTGATCAAATCATTAAAAAACAGGTGACTTTTTGAGTCATTCTATCTTCTTTATATGATAGTGCTGTATTTATACCACAGGAATCTAGTAGTGTTTGCTTTTCTTTGGCTTTTTTGGGGTAATTATTGTGATTTCCCGATTGCAACAGAGAAATACTGGGATATCTCTGTAGACTGATACCATTTCATGCTGTTCAGTTTTATAATCTTAAAATGTCAGCACCTGTTTTGTCATTACTTCATGCTAGAGAATCATTTAAACACTAGCTCTAAAGTGATGTTGGTTCAGCTGCAGATGTGAATGAAGGGTGGAAGAAAGTAGTTCCTCATTCAAAAGGATTTTGAGACTCTCTGTGTTTAAATTTTTTGTTTATATACATGATTATGCCATCAAACTGTTGTTTAAATGCAATGTCACACTTGTAGCAGTGTAATATGGCTGTATATCATCACTTTTGGGACACTAAGACACACTTCCCACCAGTGTCGATAGAGAGCCACACTGCTACTTGTGTATATATTCATTCATTCTATTGTCGGCTTAGTCCCTTTATTAACCCGGGATCGCCACAGCAGAATAAATCACCAACTTATCCAGCAAGTTTTTACACAGTGGATGCCCTTCCAGCCACAACCCATCTCTGGGAAACATCCACACACACTCATACACTACAGACAATTTAGCCTACCCAATTCACCTGTATCACATGTCTTTGGACTGTGGGGGAAACCAGAGCACCCGGAGGAAACCCACACAAAGGCAGGGAGAACATGAAAACTCCACACAGAAACACCAACGGAGCCAAGGTTCAAGCCAGCGACCCAGCGACCTTCTTGCTGTGAGGCAACAGCTCTACCTATTGTGCCACTGACTCACCCTCGTGTATACATGAGGCAGTGGCGCAGCAGGTAGTGCTGCTATATATATATATATATATATATATATATATATATATATATTTTTTTTTTTTTTTTTTTTTTTTTTTTCTAAATGACCAAGACATCAAACATTTATAAAAATAGTTGTCTTTGTAAAAAAAAAAAAAAGGACCCAAATGCATTATTTCAGCATTATTTTTAATTTTGTATGATGCATTAATAGAGGATTTAGGACAATTTTGAATATAAAAAAAAATATTTCCTCAAAGTTTTTTTTTATTATTGTTTATTTAAAAACCAATAAATATTCACATACAAATTAATTTAGGAACAAGTACATAACTACAAAAAATGTGCACTTTGGTGTAAACATACTGTACAAGGAAATATAAAGGCAAAAACTGCCTGCATGCATAACATGCGGAGGTAATGTTAAGAATTTGAGCAGGTTATCATTCAAAATCAGTAGCGTATCCTGGGCATCATTACATTTAGAAGCACTTTCTATGGACGATGGATGGACCGGCCTCATCATATTCCTGTTTGCTGATCCACATCTGCTGGAAGGTGGACAGGGAAGCCAGGATGGAGCCACCAATCCAGACTGAGTATTTGCGCTCAGGGGGAGCGATGATCTGTGAGAAGGAAGACGGTTGTTATCATACATCTACATGCTTGTCAATAAGACAGGAAAGTTTAAGAAATGCTGTACCTTGATCTTCATGGTGCTGGGGGCCAGAGCTGTGATCTCCTTCTGCATACGGTCAGCAATACCTGGGTACATGGTGGTGCCGCCAGATAGGACGTTGTTGGCATACAAGTCCTTACGGATGTCAATGTCGCACTTCATGATGCTGTTGTAGGTGGTCTCATGGATGCCAGCAGACTCCATACCTTTAGTAGGCAAAAGAAGCAGTTGTTAAAATATCTGTTTATTAAAAAATAAAAGCAAATGCCAGATAAAAGACTAAATTGCTAATAAAAAATAATAATAATACTAGCCCATACAGTGAAATTTATATTATAGTTTACAAATATATCCCAAGTGACTTTTTAACAGAGCAGGGATATTTTATATTTGTCTTTTATATTTCATGTCTTTTAGGTTGCTCGGAGTAAAAGGCAGTTTTATTTTCACCTTTAGGGTCAATATCACTAACCCCCTTATGAAATTATTATATTTGATTGACTACAGAATGGCGATGCAGTGGCGCAGTAGGTAGTGCTGTCGCCTCACAGCTGGAAGGTTGCTAGTTCGAGCCTCGGCTGGGTAAGTTGGTGTATCTGTGTGGAATTTGCATGTTCTCCCTGCATTCATATAGCTTTCCTCCAGGTGCTCCGGTTACCCCCCATCCCCCCCCCCCCCCCCCCCCAAACCCCAGTCCAAAGTCATGCAGTTCAGGTGAATTGGGTAGGCTAAATTGTTCATAGTGCATGTATGTGTGTGAATGAGTGTTTATGGGTTTCCCAGTGATGGGTTGTGGCTGGAAGGGCATCCACTGCATAAAACATGCTGGATAATTTGGCGGTTAATTCCGGTGTGGCGACCCCAGATTAATAAAGGGAGTAAGCTGAAAAGAAACTGAATGAATGACTTGAGAATTAATGGTTCATTCTGCTCTGGTGACCTCTGAAATAGAGAATAAGCCAAAGGAAAATGAAAGAATAGCTACAGAATAAACCACTGTTGTCCAATTGCTTGCCTAATTAATACAACTTGGCATAATTAAACTAGTTAAGCCTTCAAATTGCAATTCATGCTAATTACTAGAATCTTACAAAATGACGAGTGCAATATTATGTGCTGTCATCATGTAAAAGACAAAGAAATTGTTTTTAGAAATGAGTTATTAAAACCAAGTTTTAAAATCTGCACTTGGGAAATATTTGGAAAATAAAAAACTATTTTGCCTTACAGTAACATATATAAATAATAAAAGAAATATGAAAATTGCTTAAAGAAATTACTTTACTTACTACATTTTAAATGAAAAAAAAAAATCTTAAACATCTGAAATATTACAGCAAATATAAACTGAATGACTACGCTCTGAAATAAATAATAGAAGAGTTTAGATGCAAAAACCTCTAAATGCTGTTTGATATTTTCTTCTAAAACTAATATTTTTTGTCTGACTCTTGTATGTACTAATTTTTCTTTTACAGTGATGGATAAGTTATTTGTATTGCCTTTAAAGCTAAATAACTGAACATAAACATAGGAGGCTAAGAAAAATGCAAATTTTAAAAACACATTTAGAGGTTTTTGCATCTGATTGCTTCAATTTTAGATAAAACTAATCAAAAAGTAACAATAAATACAGTAGTCTATATGTATTATTCCTTCTAAACTAGTTTAGGACAACACACAATATTATCATACTTGTCAGTATGACAGTTCTATCTTACAGTTTTTACAGTTCTATCCCGCTATCATCCCGTAAAGGTATTTTCTCATATTTCTCCCGTATTTTCAGTCTTTCTCTGAAGAGTGGCAAATAAACATTAAAGCACCAATCCTCCCTATATGCAACCCATACCGCCTTGCTCTTAAATGTGAGTCTGTTCTGTGCTTTCGCTTTGTTTAGGCATGAAAAAACTTTGAAACAAATATAAAAACGGCGGGATTCCCTTTTCTTTTCATTACAGGTACTGTCTCGTCTTCATAATCCTCAAAACAGCCATACAGTGGTGCATAACTGTCAGCAGATGCACTCCATAGTGATAAACAGACGCTGTTTCCCAAACGGATTCTGTACACGTGATTTGAAGAGGAACGAAAGTCTGGGTTTTGAGTGCGTGTTTGAACAGACATATACACATAATTATCAATAATAGTATCTAAAGATGTTGATCTTGGTGGGGAGTTTTTCAAACACAACTAATTTTGTCCTAAATGAGCATAAAAAGTAAGGAAAGAAATTGAATGCTTTCATTATGTTGTTAGATGTGTGCATTTTTAAAGTGACACATCTGTTAATGTAATCAAACAGAACAAAATCTAAATAAGAGATTCATTCATTGCACTTTAATCAGAATGTGTAAGTTATGCAGTGAAGCAACGGCTAATGAGATTTGATAGCTTGATTCTATTTCATTATAAAAGCTATTAATTTTAATAAGCTGAAGTGTTTGTATTTGCTGCTAATATACTATTTATTTTTTCTTTTGTAAATAAAAATAATAAAACATATTACTGACCATTTAAATGTTTATAAACAATGAAACAGCTCCAGAAGAACATATTTAGTAATGTGTGGAATTTTAAAAGGGGGTCAAGGAAATCCCTTATTATGGTGGGCATATCCCTTACTTTCACATCCCAATGTTGACAGGTATGAATATTAAAGATGGATAAATTAAATAATATCACGCACCAATGAAGGAAGGCTGAAATAGGGTCTCGGGGCAACGGAAACGTTCATTTCCAATAGTGATGACCTGGCCATCAGGCAACTCGTAGGACTTCTCCAGAGAAGAAGAGGAAGCAGCAGTGGCCATTTCATTCTCAAAGTCCAGAGCTACGTAGCACAGCTTCTCCTTGATGTCACGCACAATCTCACGCTCAGCTGTGGGAAGCCAATTCCAGTGTTAACCGAATATTAGTATAATATAAAGTGCAATACATGGTTTAATAATGACAGCTTATTCATACCAGTGGTCACAAAAGAGTAGCCGCGTTCAGTCAGGATTTTCATCAGGTAGTCAGTCAGGTCACGACCGGCCAAATCCAGACGCATTATGGCATGGGGCAGAGCATAACCCTCGTAGATGGGAACGTTGTGGGTCACTCCATCTCCAGAGTCCAGCACAATACCTACAAACAACAACAAAAAGTGAGCTCCCCTGCTCTTTCAATCTTGATCAGTGTTTTCTAAACCTGTTCTGATTGGAGGACTACAGACTTACAGCCAGGGCCGGAGTGGGACTCTTTTTCAGCCCTGGAGTTTCAAGCCTTAGAACGGCCCACCTCAGTTCACCACTGACTATCTTAAAATAAGGTCATTTCCAATTCAGTTTCTAATTACACTATCACGTCTTTTTTTGAGAAAACAGCTGTTTTAGAAACTTCAAATGTTCAACAACCCTTACAGTATTATATGTCTTAACAATAAAAATGAAAAAAAAAAAATCTTTATAGACCTGGACCAAACCCTGGCTGGCCATGTCATAACCTAACATGCTAACCACTGTACCACAACAGCTGTACATTGAATAGTGACTTATCTTGTTATATCATCATTAACCTGCAGGCTGCATCTTGCTCACGAGGCTACGAGAAAATAGATAAAAAGAGCAGAGCTTCTGTAAAATAATAAATAAGAAGGATGTGGTCAAGTAAATAAATAAATTATATTTAAATAGTGTAACTGCTGAGAGCAACAGATTCTGGAGCTAGGGACACCGGCCCTCTAGGCCAAAAAATGGACCGGCCCTCCGGGAATTCTCCTGGTCCTCCCGATTAGCCAATCTGGGTCTGCTTACAGCTCTAACTCTAACAAGAATGAAATATTGAGAAGTAGAGGGATGTTCGAGAACTTGTCCCAGGGATGGTACAACGGCTGCAGCATATGTGATAATCAATAGTGGAAAGAGTACTGAAAAATCATACTTAAGTAAAAGCACTTTACTTGCCTAAAAATGTAGTGCAAGTAGAGTAAAAGTAGCCTTTTTCAAAAAATACTCAAGAGTAATAATGAGTAGTGAGTATTTCGCTGTAAAAAGCTGATGCATTTACATGTAATTTGTGCATGTGTGTAAACTTAATATTCTGTATTGTGTTTAGTTATTGCCCAGCAGGAGGCACACAACGTCATAAGATGTTAATATTACAGTAGTTTAGATTTAAGTTCTGTCGGGTGACCAAAATTTGATGTCTAGTCAGCATCTAAGGACAATGTTATTTTGACGTCCAATAATGTCATTAAACCACATTGATATTTGGTTGATTTTAGGTCAGTGACCAAAATCCAAAGTCGATCCAACATCTTAAACCAGCAACATATTGACATTAAATACTGACATTTATTCATCAGGTATAGCATTCAAAATCCAACGTCTAATAGAATTTATAGTGGTAACGTCTACATAACGTAAAGCTATAACATCATCAGATGTTGATATTTGGTTGGTTTTAGGTTGGGCATTGACTTTGGCCTGATGTTGAGTTCTGAAGTCAACCCTATTTTTATTTCCAAAAAAATGCAACATTCCCATGATGTTAGGGTACAACGTCAAACTTGTGCCTGTTGGGTGTTTAAGGCCATTTCGTCAACATACAGTAAACATCCATCATCTTCTCATCAGTGACCAGTCTCTGGATCAATGCATGTAAAGATTTTGGGCATCTTCTTGGACACTTTTACTGCTTCCAAAAGGTTTGCTGCATTTATAAAGCGCCCTTGACTTGAGGTAGTACATTCTGAGGTGATTTATCTTCTATGTGCGCTCTGATTGGACTTTAATTACAGGACTGACTTTGCTAATTCTCATAGACAAGTAATAATGAAATAGTGACTGCAGATTGAAGGAAAATAATTCTGTAAAAGTACAGACACAGCACTAAAAATATACTCAAGGGAAAGTAAAAGTACACATTTTTAAAACTACTTAATAAATTACAATTCCTTGAGTATTTGTAATTAGTTACTTTACACCACTGATAATAATTTACAAGTTTAAAATTGAATTTCATCAAATTGAAGGCATATATGCATATTTGGCATACTGTAACAGAGGACGGCTCTAAGTTTACATTTTTGGCTTGAAGCCAGAGTATATTGAGTGCTGCTTGAAAACTGTTCTGGGACAGAAGTGAATTAGCTATGTTTATGTATATAGATCTCAAATCATGCTGGCTACACAATCTAAACATCTTCCTCCCAAACTTTGTCGAAGTCATTTGATCCGACTGAAGAAGTTATGTCGTTCCATACACAATCTTGGAACTTAGGTGTCATTTATACATATGCTTCTTTTAAAATAAATGTTATTTTATAAAGCAAGCATTTCCAAACTAAAGCAGGGTCATTATCAGTATCAAAGCACTCCATTTTCGCAGGTTAAAGATGATTGTAAGAAATTTGTATGATTTTTAGAACAGCATGAAAGCCTACCCCTAACATAGGTGTCATCGAGGCATGGTCAAACGAAACTAATGAGATTTCATTTAAATTTGTCACTAAATTAACTACATTTAATATGGTTACTTGTCATGAGATTGTGTTGGTCCTGTGCAATCTTATAAGGAATGTGGTATTTTAGTTCATGTCTTCACAAACACTCACCAGTGGTACGGCCAGAAGCATACAGTGAAAGCACAGCCTGGATAGCCACATACATGGCCGGAACATTAAAGGTCTCAAACATGATCTGCAAATTAAACAACACAAACAACAGGTTAAGTCATTTAAGTATTTCTGCATCATTTTAAGTTTGTAGAGTTGTTGCTAGATGCTAGAGGCTATGATCTTTAGCCTCCTTGGTAGAGCAACAGACCCTCATGCAGAAGGTCGCCTGTTCGATATCAGCTCGAAGCGGGTTGGGTGGTGTAAGACCGTCGGGGTTACACATGCACATTTTAAAGATTTTCAAGCAGGATTACCTGTGTCATTTTCTCTCTGTTGGCTTTAGGGTTAAGTGGAGCCTCTGTGAGCAGCGTAGGGTGTTCCTCAGGGGCCACACGCAGCTCATTGTAGAAGGTATGGTGCCAGATCTTCTCCATATCATCCCAGTTGGTGATAATGCCGTGCTCAATCGGGTACTTCAAGGTCAGGATGCCTCTCTTGCTCTGGGCCTCATCACCCACGTAAGAGTCTTTCTGTCCCATACCTACCATCACACCCTGTTCAGGACAAGATGATGTCAAAAGTTCAGTACATACAGTATTTGCATTATGCATTTGGCAACAACATTTATTCAATACAACTAATGGTATATAGAAGGGAATCAATCACTTGACCTTGGCTATGTGTTCTACTGTTAAACTAAATTCATTGTAGTCTCAGCACTAGCTGACAGCTTAAAACTGGCATTATGGCAAACCCCTCATATGGAAGAAAAATCCATATAACTAAAAAAACGCATTAACATGTATTATGATCAACCTCCTGGAGTGTTTTTATTCTTTATCAAATATTTCCCAAGTCTTATATTCTTATACTGTGAAAAATTCCTTGCTCTGTTAAACATCATTTGAGAAATATTTTAAAAAGAAAAAAAAAGTATTTAAAATTCAAAGGGGGGCTAATAATTCTGACTTCAACTGTATATATTTATTTTGGAGAAAGTTTTGTTTCTTTTAGTTTAGCTGGAATAAATATATATTTTTTATTTTTAAATGAAAGTCAAATGTATGTTTAAGGCATGTTTAAATTAAGGTCAATATTATGAGACTTCTCAAAAAAAAATATTTTTTTTTGTTGCAGAACAAACCATGTTTGATCTGCCTAATTAACATAACTTGCCTATTAACCTAATTAACCTGGTAGGTTACAACAATGCTTAGCGAATGTAAAAAAAAAAAAAAAAAAAAAGAAAGAAAAGAAAATTAAACTGCCTAAAAAGATCAAATAATAAATCTAACTTTCAAAACTACAAAACTGCTCAAACTATCAAATAATAAATCAAAATTCATTCTCAAACGAGAAATCAAATGTATTTGATATTTAATTTTCATGAACAACTAAAAATCCTGTAAGATTTCAAAAACGAGTCAAATGCTCAAACTATGATTCAAATAAAGGAACCAGTTTCCTGATCACATACACAGCTGGAAGTTCATGATGGACTACTTATTAGGACACCATTTACAGACTCTTGGCTGAGTCTTGTTTTTTTTTCCCTGTGAGTCATTATAAAGCATTTTCCCTGTTTGTCCTGCCATGTTTTGATCCTTGTCTTGTTTACCGTCATTGTTTTTTTGCCTCCTGTCTTGTTTCTAATAAATGTTTTGTTAACATTTGTCTCTGTTTTTTTTTTTCCCCATAATGTAATACTTTTCATTTAAGACATTTTAGATCAGTGCAACTGATGTTTTCAAAAGTCAAGTAAGCAAGAAAAAGTGAAAGGAAATATAGATTGAGTTTTTTTTTTTCTGTTCACTCAACTTCAGGCATTCGTTTTGTAAAAAAAAAAAAAACATTTTCACTTGGCACAGTTTAAATGGTTTTGTTATAGCGTAGCTGACCTCTCCAAAAAACAAATAACCTTATGTTACCCCAACAAAATGTTTTTTTTGTAATACTGACAAAAAATTTTAGGTCAGTGCAACTGATATTTTCAAAAGTTGAGGAAACAAGAAAAAATTAAAGGAAATAAGGATTATGTTTTTTTTGTACTAGTCAGTTAGTTTTGCTGTGTTTTTCTCCCTGCGTTCGCGTGGGTTTTCTCCGGGTACCCCCACAGTCCAAAGACATGCGGTACAGGTGAATTGGGTAGGCTAAATTGTCCGTAGTGTATGAGTGTGTATGTGTGAATGTTTCCCAGAGATGGGTTGCGGCTGGAAGGGCATCCGCTGCGCAAAAATGTGCTGAATAAGTTGGCGGTTCATTCTGCTGTGGCCACCTCGGAATAATAAAGACACTAAGCTGACAAGAAAATGAATGAATGAACCTGCATGTGTTGCTAATGGTTTACACTCTGTAAATTACTTTCAAGTTTCCTACATACATTTTTTTTCTATAAGAAGTCTCAAGGTTTCAATGTATATGTTCATAAAAATGATGCAGAACAAAACACATTGTGATGTATTTCTTTACATGAAGTGATCCATAACCAATAGGGAATGGAAAAGAGTCCAGACCTTGTATGTGTGAAGCTCTGGCTAAGTGAGACTAAGTTTAATGAAAGTATAATGTTGCTATCTTGCATTAAGAAATAAACATTGTACCTGGTGGCGAGGACGACCAACAATGGAGGGAAAGACAGCACGAGGAGCATCATCTCCAGCAAAGCCAGCCTTCACCAGGCCAGAGCCATTGTCACACACAAGAGCAGTGGTCTCATCGTCATCACACATGGTGTCAGCTGGGGTTCTGGGTGAAGATCAGACACACAACTGTTAGAAAATTCTGTGAACATACATGACAGTTTGTTTGCATTCCAGCCAGGGTTGTGTTTTCACTTCATTATAAATCATATTGATCTAAAACAATTGTCATTAATGACTCTATGATTTAATGTCCATAAAATGTCTTCATTGGATATTATTATTTTGCTGATATATGAATAATTATTTGACTGTGTAACAAAATTAATCATACTATTGTATTGCTGCAAAAAAAAATAAAAAATAAAAAATCTTATTGGGTCTTTATTTTTAAGAGAGCAGTTTAGTAATTCATGCTGCTGACATGCTTGTCCTTGATTGACTTCTCCTCATAACAAGGTTTTAAAAGTAAGAAAATTAAAACTTCACTAAAATTCAAAGTCAGCAAAGTATTCTTAACTGGCAACTCTAAGCCTCTGAAAGGTTTGTTTAGCTCAAGTCAATTACTTGCATTGTAATTCCAGCCATATAACTGACCTAGTTTAAATCCTAGCATTCAGAAGATCATCCCATTAAATGAAGTCTGACATTTCTGAAAGCTTTAGCTGTACTTACCAGATCAGCACCAGGAGCTGGTTCCCTTGGAGAGTGAATGGTAGAAAGCGCCTTGAGTCACGGCCAATTTATAGACACTGAGTGGCCCTGGGTCGCTGGACTTCCCTCTCCATATTTGGTAGCCCGAGCGCCATTGAGAGCGGAGTGGCCATGAATGGAAGGGCGCAGAGAGGAGAGCCCGAGACCCGCGCTAGGCTTTTCGTCCTGCGCCCATGTATGGAGACTTGGAGAAAGACGCGGAAAGGCATCGCAGGGGGCGAGTGATGTCATTATTAATCAACGCGGAGCACACTGAAATACCATAGAAATGACATCCCGTAAACTCTGCATGTCATAGCCTATATATACATTTGAAGTCCGAATTATCAGCCCCTTTTCTTTTTTGAATATATCCCAATTGATGTTTAACAGAGCAAGGGAATTTTCACAGTATGTCTGATAATATTTTTTTTCTTCTGGAGAAATTCTTATTTGTTTTATTTCGGCTAGAATAAAAGCAGTTTTGATAAAAAAAAAAAAAAAACATTTTAAGTTCCAAATTATCAGCCTCTTTAAGCTATATTTTATAGTCAACAGCAGTGGTTCTTAAATTTTTTCATCAAGTACCACCTCAGAAAACCCTTCAAGTACCAAAATAATAAGCATTATTGAAATAAAGTAGCGTAGTGGGCACAGTGAAGCAGCTACAGCTCTGTACAGTTCAACAATGAGTCGGATTATTTTTTATTATTAAGAGTATTATTGTCAGCCACTTTAAACATTATAAATTGTTTAAACATTAACACTGTAATGTGCTTATACGTAAAAAAAAAAAAAAAAAAAAAAGTCAAATTTTAATTTAAATTGTGCTTTTAAAAGTAAAAAAATGTTAGGTTACTATTCTTAAAGTTAAAAAAAAAACTGTACTTAAATGTGAAGTATAACACTTAGAAATATAGGCTACATGTCATCATATTCATATATAATCATTTTTTATACATTTTTAATATATGTATCTACATATGACATATTTGATTCCTCAGCGTATCTAATGAAGCCCACATACCACTTGTGGTACACGTACCACAGTTTGAGAACCACAGGTCTACAGAACAAACCATCATTATACAAAAACTTGCCTACTTACCCAAACCTGCCTAGTAAACCTAATTAACCTTTAAACCTTAAAATGTCACTTTAAGCTGTATAGAAGTGTCTTGAAAAATATCTAGTCAAATATAATTTACTGTCATCATGGCAAAGATAAAATAAATCTGTTATTAGAAATGAGCTAATAAAAAAAATATGAATTATGTTTGTCATACACACTGAAATTGGGCACAAAATAAACAGGGGGGCTAATCATTCTGACTTTAACTGTATATAAATCATACAACACGCTCTTTAAACAACAAATAATCCACCATTTACACTAAATGTTGTCTTTTTAATTTCGAAATGAAGATGAATTCTAAGGGTATAAAGGGTTAAAAAGAGAATTGTATGTAAAATAATACTATAGTAATGTGTAGGTTATATAGTATACTGTTTTTAAGCCATACAGTTTGTTATACTGTATATATTATAGTACTCAGAATTTACAGCACTTGGTTCAGAATACTGTAACAATAGTGAAGTGATACACTGTAGGTACTGTTGTGTACTTTAGTTTTACTAGTGTATTGTGGTATAATATACACTAAAGTTGGAGAAAATGCAGTACATTTATTGAATTTCTTTTCAGCTTAGTCCCTTTTTAATCTGAGGATGCCACATCGGTCGCTGTGGCTTGAACTATCTATCTATCTATCTAAATTCATTTTCTTGTCGGCTTAGTCCCTTTATATATCCGGGGTCGCCACAGTGGAATGAACCGCCAACTTATCCAGCAAGTTTTTACAGCTGCAACCCATCTCTGGGAAACATCCACACACACATTCACACACACACTACAGACAATTTAGCCTACCCAATTAACCTGTACTGCATGTCTTTGGACTGTGGGGGAAACCGGAGCACCCGGAGGAAACCCACGCAAAGGCAGGGAGAACATGCAAACTCCACACAGAAACACCAACTGAGCCGAGGTTCGAACCAGCGTCCTTCTTGCTGAGAGGCGACAGCACTACCTACTGCGCCACTGCCTCACCATCTATCTATCTATCTATCTATCTATCTATCTATCTATCTATCTATCTATCTATCTATCTATCTATCTATCTATCTATCTATCTATCTATCTATCTATCTATCTATCTAAAGTCAAATATCATATCAGTATGTGATCTGACAATATAAATGTACAAATGCCCTATTCAGACCCTATTAAGTCTTTCATCCCCTATTGGTTCTCAAACTGTGGTATGTGTACCACCAGTGGTACACAGGCTTCCTTCAAGTGGTACACGGAGTAATAATTATAGTAAAAAAAAACAAAAAACACTTTTAACCCTTTGGCGCGTGCAATAAATTGATTTTAATAAGCTAAACCTTTTATTTTATTTAAAATTTTCTGTTTAAAGCTAATTTCCTCCCTATATTTGTAATGGTTGTTGGGCTTGTATTTTTATATCCCAATGTTGACAGATATAATCACTTGCTTTTCTGAAACTAATAGCCTACTATAACGTGCAGTAGGCAGATCTTATTTCTAATTTAAATATGTAAATCCAATTCATGTATCTGAAATACAAGTTAATGTTTAGATTTCAAAGAAATGCAAATATGTTATATATACATGCAACATATTTTAAAATTTATTTATTTAGAGTTTATATATGAATATGATAACATATAGCTTATATTTATAAAAGGTTTTGATAAATAGGATACTTTATGATAATACTTTACATTTAAGTACAGCAGATTTCTTTTTACTTTTTAAGAACATTTTTTAAATAACTTTTTTTAATTGTACCGTAAACTGAAGAACATCTCTACCGTATTTTTAACGATAGATTTCTGGCAACCACAGCTGTCAGTTTTTTACCGTAAAATTTCTGTTTCACTTACATATACCGTAAACTGAAAAACATCTCTATCCTATTTTAATGATAGATTTCTGGCAACCAGAGCTGCCAGTTTTTTACCATAAATTTTATGGGTTTTTTTTATATACTGTGTGTTTTACCTGTAAGCACAGCGCAGTGTTAATTTTCAAACTATTTATAATGCAAGTGGCTGACAATAATAAACATTCATAATAATAAGAATTAATCTGTTTCGTTTTTGAACTGTGCAGAGCTGTAGCTGCTTAATTAGGCCGGCATTGCTACTGGATTTCAATACTGGTCATTATGGTAATACTTAGAGAGACAATTGTCTCTGAGGTGGTACTTGATGAAAAAAAGTTTAAAAACCACTGCCATAGCAGACACCTTGATATCAAACAATATAAATAAATAAAAACTTGTCACATGTGAATAATGATTTGATATCAAAACTTTAAGTTCTGTTTGACGTAAGGTCTGGGTGTTTCCCAGTTGGAAGGACATCTGCTGTGTAAAACATATTCATTGCGATTCATTGGCAACCCCAGATTAATAAAGGGACTAAGCTGAAAAGAAAATGAATGAATTATTATTATTATTATTATTATTATAAGCTTTAGAGTAATCATCACCCATCTAAACTCTAATGATTAAGTTGCATTTTATTCAAAGTGAGCCGCTCTGATTCTGACTGGCTGCCTTTTTAGGAGCGCTTTAAATAACACCTGAAGTTCCAAATCAGCACACTTGAAAATCCATGTCAAAGACCCTCCACCCTTAGGTTAGCAGAGTTATTATGACGAATAGAGGATTGTTAAAATAGGGATTGTAGAAGCCACATCACTCACCAGCACCGGTGTGCACTGTAAGTATTCAGCCAAAAAATGCTGAGTTGTATTATGGTTTCACCTCATCACTCCTGTATCAGCATTTCGCTTCACTTCTGGATTTATGGAGGTCAAAAGAAAGTGTGTGCTGTGCTGCGATTCCACTGAAACGTTCATTTGCACGACATTGTGTCTCCTAGTAATGATGGTTTCCTCTCATAATGTTCAATTCATCTGATGTAACGTGCTGCTTTTTGAATAATCCCCAACATTCTCTGTCTGAGCATCTGTCAGCCGGCAGGGGCTTAGGGTTTGCTCTATTTGAACTTGTTTCAGTGTTAAGGGGGATTTGGCTGATGCAGAAATAACCTTGATATTTATTTCAACCGCTTGTGGGCAAATATGTCAATGTTTGTGTATATACTGCACAGTTGAAGGCAAAATGATTAGCCCTCTTGTCAAATTGTTGTTTTTTGTGCTGTTAGATGGAGATTTTTTTTTTCGGACACATATTTTTAACCCTCCTGTTGTGCTTACATCACTCTCCTTACGTTAGTGTTCCCTGTCAAAATTGGACGGTCTTTTCACCAGCATGTTTTTAATTAGCATTCTATAGCTGTGAACACTGTCTCAATAGTATTTAACAGAATTTGTAGAATTAGACATAAAATAACTGCAGTGACAATAATAGGCATGAAAATGTATTACAAAAGAAACTAAGTAAATTTGGTAGACAAACTTTATGGTGGCTTGAGAAAGCCTCATCTGAAAGTTGTTCCTGGAGGGCCGGTGTCCTCCAGATTTTTGCTCCAACCTTAATCAAACACACCTGAACAAGCTAATCAAGGTCTTACTATACTTGAAACACCCAGGCAGGTGTGTTGAGGCAAGCTGGAGCTAAACCCTGCAGGGCACTGGACCTTCAGGATTGAGATTGGTTTAAATCATTGAAGTAGTTTTTAAGAAGTTTGAAACAGCTGCCATAGACAGATCATATAGGCTAGCATGTTTCTAGCAAAGAGCTTAGAATGACCAAGAGGCGACACTCAATAGAACGTTCCATTGCAACAGCAGCGCCCAGCAACAGCCCCGGATTCTGCCATTTTGGAGTGAAAGTGATCGGCCGTCGATAGGATCTCATTACTGTCGCGATGGCAAGCAGCTGCTTTGTTTTTTATTAATTTATTTTAAAAGCGCATTAAAGCCGAGATACAACCTGAAAGACGACAATACAACATTTGTTTTCA